AATACAACTTATAATGGCACGAATAGTAGTTAGACACAGTTCAAAGGGCAATAAAACAATAACATTTAATTATAAATAGATGTATACTGTTACAAGTTTAAAACTACCTAGGATAAATGAATGTAGTTTCATGGTATATTTGAAATCATTCTAGAAAGAAAAAGAGGGTAATTTCGATTTATTTTGGGTGGTTATGAGGTTGGATAAATTGATCACCTTTGTATAGAGTTAGGTTAGAGAAAATTACAGATAAAATATAAAGTTTTACAGAAAACAAACATTTGAAATGTAATTAGGAGGTTTTAGAAATTACACAAAATTTGAGATAAAGAAAAGTATTTTTAATCTTACATTAAAATCACTTTGCACACAGACTATTCAAAACAAATACTCGATATATTCAAGGACAAACCTATTTTTAGTTTATTAAAAATACTTTAATAAAAAATATGATTTTTTGTATGTGAAAGAGTTATAATGTTTACTGAAAGACTGCCAAATTTCATGAAGATATACACACTATATTAAAAGTTAGTAGTAACAAATTTATAGACTTTATACGAGTACAAAGAGTCAAGTGGTTGGTCAAATTTGTGGTTTCATGTTATAATATGGAATCATTACATGTACCTACCATTTTTTGCAGGAATTAATAATTTGTGTACTCCACCCATTTCATCGAAAAGTAATAACTGTATTATTTAATGCTCTATAAATAGGTGTGGATCTAGATGTCCAAACCTTCTTCTCTATTTTTTCAAAAACTAATAAAACAAACCAGCCAGACATCCTTACACTGCTGAATGATATCATCAGATGTCAGCAGTTTTATTTAATTGGGCATTAATTACTATAAAACTTTTTTAATCAATCTTGTAGCATTCACATGGTGGAAATTTAGTTTTCTGAATCTTCACATCAACAGTTATCTAATGAGAAACACCTACAACTGTATCTTGTTTGATTGATTATGAATATTCTGAAACTTCCTTCAAAAATTTATGTCTTTCTTTAGAGGGAAAATGTAGCACCCTTTTAGTAAGTATTAATATAATGTATTTTCTATATTTATATATGCATTATTATAATTATGTACTAATGAATTTTTTTCTTTACAGAACATAATCATGGCCAAATATGGATCAATAGCTACAGTATGACAGAAACAAACCGAAGTTGCAAACACAAATACCTAGGTATTAAAAACGAAAAGAGAGAGAGAAAGATATTGCTTAATAATATGTAGATTTCTTTTTCCTTAAATAAAAAGCACTTACTTTTTGGCCCTTCATTATATTATGGTTAATACACATCTATATTCACTGTACGAAGATCAGAATTTCAATAATTGTACAATACAACTGAGAATCTGACACTTTAATAATTGTATACACTCAGAAAAGAAGCAAAGAATTTTATATGAGATGGTAAAATCAGTATGCAGACAAGAACAGTCACTATATGTGTTAGCTGAATTTATGTGTGTTCATCTATGTGAAAATATTTTTACAGTATTGTATGAAAATATATTTTATAAAAAAGTAGCTTCAACAAAGTTACATTTACCTGTGTAGATAAGAAATAAGTTATTGTTAAGGATGATAGCCTCTTTGATAGTTATTTTTCAAACACTATCATCAGATCTATTAAAAATGTTATATACTTTCTTGCACATGTTTGAGCTACTGGTACAGTATTTCAGAGGTGGTTCTGCATAGTACTCCCTTGAAGCTTTAAGCTCATTAAACCAGGATGTAATAAAAATAACACAAATGTGGTTGAATCCCAGGCTGATTTAGTGAGCTCAAGTGTCAAGAGAATGACAATCTGAACAGATTTTACCCAACTATTAACTACTAAAAGTCAATAAATTTAAAAAAGCTACCAACTATGAGAACAACTGTTCAGAAATGCAAAAATCTTAAAAATAACTTTCCAAGAATCCTGCAAAATTTTATCAAGTCCTAAAGTATTCTTATAAGATGCTTATCACAATCCTTTAAAAAGTTTTTAGGATATCACAGGATCTTGGTATAATCTTGTACATTTCCCTGGTTTGTTTGTTATTAAGCACAAATCTACATAATAGGCTATCTGTGCTATCATATCCAATTCTGATCACAATAAACCCAGACACTTACTGCTGAGCCACCAGAACTTACTATGATCTTAAACAAACATGTAAATCACACATGAATTAATGAAATTGCTGGATGATGAAAGCATAGAAAAAGTCTCCTATATGTAGATACATGTAAAATTGCTGACCCTAGCTGTACTAATGAGCCTTGAATAGGTGAAACTGCAGCAGAGAATAGGGACAATCAAAGAATGTATTAGGCCTCTATGTCACAAATTCTCTTTTGAATTTCACCTCTGGTGAAAAAGAAATCTTTGACACACACACACACACACACAAAATGTCATAACACTATTCACATACCAAATTAATTAAGGTATTAATATAGTGAAGTGAAACAGACTCAAAACCATGTTGATATAGAATAGAGATATCAGTCTTTGTCCTTATGGTAATAGTGGTCCACTGTATAATGTTGAATAATAACTTTGACAAAATGTCATAACACTATTCACATACCAAATTAATTAAGGTTACTATACAGTGAAGTAAAACAGACTCAAAACCATGTTGATATAGAATAGAGATATCAGTCTTTGTCCTTATGGTAATAGTGGTACACTGTAGAAGAGATGTGACCATTTTTCTTACCTCAGGGTAAATTACATTATGAAGAGTTTTGGGTCTCTTTACCTCTTTCTCCACAAATCATTTGGCAAAAAATCAGAAATATTAAGAGTATTAACCATTGCATTTAGCATACACAGAGAAACCATAGTATGGTATTTTAAAGTGTCCAATTCACTGACAGTGAAAACAGCGTAAAAAACAACAGTGTAATGTATCATTTCAAGCAAAACTCAAGTGCTAGGATCCTTTTCACAAGTCACCATGTATGGCAAATAAGAGGATGAATGTTTCAATCAAAGATTGGGTAAGCTACAAAGTAAAAAGAAAATTCCCTGGGAAGTCATGTCACCACAAACAGGAATCCATGTTAATGGGTAGTTTATCATAAAATAATACCATCTACAGAGATAACAATTTGTCAAAGTAGCAATTACAGTTTTCCATAAACTACAACAATTGGCAAGTAATGATGTGATAAAACAGCCCCTTTAATAGGTACTAGGTTGTAACATTGCCAAATAAGGTTATGATAAAACAACCCTTCTATAGGTTGTGAAATTTAAAGGTAGGGTTATCATAAAACAATGCATTCTACACACAGTAGGCTGCCAACTGTTAAATAACTTAAGACAACCCCCTTCACATGCATTAAATGTTGAAATTGTAAGTAGGGATATCATAAAACAACACATTATAAAGGTGTTAAGCTGTTAAGTTGTTAAATATCTAAGACAACCCCTCCAAATGCATTAAGTGATAAAATTGAAAGTATGGATATCGTAATACAACCTGTTGTTCAAACAATAGACTGACAACTGACATGAAAGGTTATCATAAAACAAATTCAAGGTTAGAGAGGCTAGTCACACAGACTTATTATTGCTAATAAAAGAATACGAGCACAAAGTACTCCACATTTTCAAGACTTCTGAGCTACAAATATTACTATAAAACCCTTGAAAATGCTCAAAACCTAAATATTGAAATTAATAAACCATATTTAATCTATTTAGTAAATATTTTAAGCATAGCATACATGTATATATTCAAAGATGCTTCGAATTGGTGAGATATTGCATAGCAGTCTTCAAAACAATATAAACTGAGCAGTGTGCCAATCTCGATCTGCAGAGAAAAAAACTTCCTGATTGGCAGTTAAATTACTTCCTTTTCTGCCTTCAGAAAGTTTGAGAAATTAATATTACTATTCTTCTAAGAAAAAACAAATCAAATGCACGTGTATATCAATCAGTCAAAAACAGATAATCAATATTAAGCCACTAGTCCCATTGGACTAGTGCAGCTTTTCCCAACCAGTGGTCCATGATCTCCTAGAGGTTTGAGAAATAATTCTGAGAAGTTTGCAAGAAACATTTCGTAATGGCATATTTTTCACTTTCCTGGTTCTACAGTTCTTACAAATATTTTTATTTCCTTCTAACTTGTTAAATATTTATGGGAGGAAACAGCTTGATGCAGAGCCAGATTTAAGACTATATCTCTCTTCTGTTGAGCCAAACTTTAATGCACTGTGTTCTTCAAACCAAGCTCAGAAGTCTCATTAGTTTCAGTTAAATGGTTTTGTTTAATTTTTTTTGTGTGTGTTTCAAGAATCATATTTTAATTGTACTGAGTACTAACTACAAAATGATAACAATATCAGAGATTCAGATTTTATGATAATCCCTTTTATAGCTTGACCTAAAAAGAGAGACAAGTAGAAATATTTTGAATGCATAACCCAGTTCTAGAAGAATGACAGTTTTGCACTTGCCAACACTTAGATGTTATCCTAGTTGAATGGTCCATTCTTTGGTACTACTTAGCCCGCATAGTAACTTCTTCAGATTAAATGTATGCAGTTGGTAAAAAATAATTAATATTTTAATTGTCAAATACTCTTTACTCAACTCTTATCTTTTACTGTAGTCACTATGAGCTGTAGTCAGATGTGTAGTGTACTTTGTAGCATAATTTACAACTTATTAGCTGCAGCATAGCAGCTCATAGAATGGTTTGAGTTTATCAAGTACAAACTTTTAGCTTATAGCTCCATCATCTTTTGACTGATTTCAGATCTAATTGCAGTTTTTGATTCAGGAGGTCAAACCCTTTCGATTGATGTATTTGAACATGCCCAAGGTCTCATAGATTAATTTACTCTAGTCCTGCCTAAGAGAATTTCAAGTGCCACAGGTATTGAGGATTTTCTCTTGTTTTTTTATACAGTTATACCACCTTGTTTTTAGGGAAAAAAACACTGATTTAATTATAAGTAAATTAAACTTACCCAAGATACCACTCTTCCATTAAAACAGGGGAGTTTAGCATCATCTTCAACAATCTCCTCCTTAACCATTCTGAAGAAATTACAAGCATCAAATAGTCATAAATACAATATTATGTATAAAAGTATCAGTTTTCTAATGAAATTAGTACAATACAGTGATATTACAAAATTAACATTAAACTGATAATATTAACTTCCAATCAGAGCAAACAACCTACTTAGATCAAAAGCAAAAATCAATTTATAATGAGTGTAGCTAATATAAGATTACAATATACATTTTCACCAGTTGGGTACCCTTAATGTTAATAATATTTTTGGCCATAACCCACAATAATAACTCATAAAGTTCAGTCAACTTAGAATATTCAGGGTAGTCCCAAGTTCATGTACTAAGCTAACAAGGCATAACAATCTCAATAGTCTTTTCACATAGAATTTCTTAAAATTATCATATAAAAATAATCACAAATAATACAACTAGATAAATTAAACATTCTAGCCAAAACTATCAGTGAAAGTAACATTACAGAAAGATTATACCTCACTTACAGAACACGCAAGCACTAGTTCATAGCTTCAAGTGTTATTGTAGGTTGAATGTTCACTAAACAACATAGCATCAGTTTAGTAGGATAGTACCAATAGTACAGCCAAAAACTACTGTTTATGAAGAAACAAAATAATAACTAAAAAGTTAAAATAATACCTGAATCATGGTATTTAATTAATATAACCAAATGAATGCATAAAAACTATATATTAAAGATACTATGAGATATGTCTAACCCAACCAACTTCTGCTCCTCACAAAACACATGTAACATTTATTACTTTCTGTTTTCCACAGTTCAATCCTCAAAACTACTGAAAAATAAATGTGGTAAGATTTCAATAATAAGACTTGGAAAAGGAAGATAAATAATGATAAATACTAAAGTATTTAGCAAAAATTAAAGTAACTTAACTAATGACTTATTGTTATACCATACAAAGAAATGTTATACAGCTAGTATTAACTACTGAAAGTAAGAGCTTAAACTAAGAGTGGTAGTTCATACTCAAAACACTAAAATGGTTCAATATTACCTTAAGCTACTTCTAAGAAAATGTAGATATACAAGTTTTGAAAAGTTATAATATTCCATAAAATTTTACACCCATAATTAGTAGCATGTCTACTTTTGAATTTCCCACAAATTTGAATGAATTTGAAAATCTTGTTATGTAGAAGAAATTCTCTTGTATCTAATAAGATATGAGTAGTAAATATTGTAAAATAACATATTTGGAAACAGAAAGTTTATAACATCAAAGTTGGAAGCTTCCTCCATTTTAACCCTTTCACAACTGGTACTCCTTTAATTCCCTTTCTATTCAAGGCACCAAGTTATATTAAAATTTTAATTAAACAACTTTACTATCAATGTATATCAATGAAATTAACATTATAATGTATGTTATAATTCAAAGTTTTATGTTATCTAAGTTTACTTCATTTGTTTCAAAAGAAACCTTTCAAAATTTATAAACTTCAGTTTTGTTGTCATGTGAACCACAAGCTATAAAAAATCTCAATTTTGGCACTTTCTACCTTGAACAAGATAACCCAGTCTAGTAAATGTATGTTTAGATAATAGATATACTTGTTTGCCCTATTAACACATATATTCTAAAGTTCCTTGACCGAGTTCTGTTGAAACAAGATAAATTTTCCCTCCTCTGATAGGTGCCACTCCCACCTTCTATACTATTCCTTGAGCTTTACAAGTTATATGTAGTTAATTAATACATATGTACATAGTCAATAGAAAGAGCTCATTTTACACTCAAATCCAAAAATAACTATTTTAAAACTGACACTTAGTTATTGACATCGGGTAGTTGTAACTGCAGGTAGTATTGTTGGCTGCTTTGTCCATGATAGCACTTAGTTGTTTCTTAGCTAAATATATTATAGTTAGAGAGACAGTTATATTGCATTTAGGTTTTACTTTTTTATCTTAGTTATGTATTATTTATGTTTTAAAATACACAATTGAAAGGTTTAAACGTTTTTTAAATTTATCTCAAATACTGCCCCAGTTCTCAAGGCTTACGATCTTGAATAAGTGTAAGATAATTTTGCCAAAGGCTTGCACATCTCTCCTGAAGGTGCTGTAATATGCCTCAAGGGCATTGTTGACTTGTGTTGAGATGAATAATAAAAGGTAAAGGATAGGAAAGGAAAATAAAACATTAAAAATTAAGTATATGTGAAAGGAAAAAATCTGAAATTATGAATATAACCAAAAGAAGATCTTTAAGATATTTCACAAAAAATTAAAAGGTAAGCACATTTTCTCAACTTCTTAATTTTAAACATTTCAATGCACTGTATGTTGATGATAATATCTACAGTTTGTGTTATAGTACAGAAAATGAAAAATAAAGTGCAAAGTAAAAGCATCATCAAGTACAGTGGATTGTAAACAGGTTTATATATAGTTTAGACAAAGAACCAGAAGTAACCTGGGGAAAAAAAACATCCAGGGTCTCAGGTAGGAAAGCTCCCAACATTGCCCTCCTCTCCAAGAGTTGAGGAAATTCCCTTGACCCCTCTGGAGGAATAACTTCTTCCAACCACCCCAGTGACTGGAAACTGGGTGTGGTAAGGACTCCCTAGCTCCACTAGTAGAACATGGGGGGAGGGGGGGTTAATGCTTGTTCAGGAGCCCTGAGAAACAATGCTCTGGTAACAGTGCAATAGGTAGACCAACATGGGGTCGGTCAAACTGACAGAGTCACATGACCTTTTGTACTCGTTTAAAATTGATACAAGTTTAATACTTATAACTCTCTATATATTGGGTATATTTTCACGAAATTTGGCAGACTTTCAGTTAATATTATAAGTCTTTCACATACAAAAAATTCATATTTCTTAGTGAAGTATTTCTAATAAAATAAAATAAAGTTTTGTCCATGAATATAATGAGTATTTTTTTTGAATAGTCCGTGTGCAATGTAATTTTCATGTTAAAATTATAAATACTTTTGTCATCTCAAAGATCTCAAATTTCCTTTGTGTAATCCCTAAAACCTCCTAAATACATT